CTGAACTCATGGGGAAGTTGGCAAGACGGCAGCTGTGGGTTTCTGATCCGAGATAAAGAACAGAAGCCGCCGGGTACACTCCGCAGGTCATCGATCCGTGACGTTCACTCATTTTTCCTCTCTCCATAGATGCTGTCTGACCACATGAGTGTTCCCAGCCACGTCTGCTTGTATTTTAGATTCCCAGCGTCTGCAGTATTTTGCCTTTAGTTTCCGATCTCACTCACTCCTTAACCTCAGTCGTTCAGGGCTCAGCGCATTCCCTCTCTTCCTCTCTCTGATTACCAGCCAGAGACCATCTTGAGCGTTACCGTGGGGTATCGTTACTGAGTGTAGAATATTCCTACTGAGTGTGGGGTATAATATTAATAACAATAATAATCCCTTGCAATTGACGCAGCGCCTTATCACGTCTTCGAGACGTCTCAAAGCGCTTCACAGAATATACTGCAAAGTGAATTGACTGTATATTTTGTGGTTGAAACGCGGCGGCCAATTGCGCGCGGCACCGTCCCCACAAACAGTCGCGGGTTGTGTGACCACACTTTTTTTTAAGGGATTTTTATCCCCAGAAAACAATCATCCAATCGACTAACTACCGAGTTCCTTTACTTGCTGCTAAGTAAACAGAGGCCCTATAGGGTAAGGAAACTTAGCCTAATGTTTCACGCTGCCCAGGAATCGAACCTGAGTCCTCTAACACTAACGACTACACTACAGGACTCCACAACGTCCTGAGTGTGTGGAGCATCGAGACTGTGCGTGGCATATTGTTACGATTAGAGACGTAAGAACAGGAGGAGGCCATTCAGCCCCTCGAGCCTGTTCCACCATTCTACCATCTGGCTGATCTGGACCTCAAGTCCAATTCCCCGCCCTATCCCTTTATACCCCGACCTAACAAACATCCCTCCACCTCAGTCACGAAGGTGTGAATGGCTCCAGCCAGAATCCACAGCCTTTTGGGGAGAGAGTTCCAGATTTCCGCTCCCCCTTTGGGTGCAAACACTGCCTCCTGGTTTCACCCCTAAATGGCCTGGCTCTGATTTTAAGATCATGCCCCTTGTTTTGGATTCCCCGACCCACCCCCCACCAGAGGGAACAGTTTCTCTGTAGCTACCGCTGTAGCTTTTAGTACTTTAAAAGCCTCGATCATATCACCGCTCAACCTTCTCAACTCAAGGGAATCCAGACCAAGTTTATACGACCCGTCATCATAATTTAACCCTTTGAGCCCTAATATCATTCTGGTGAATCTCGGCCGGACCCCCTCTGGAGCCAATATATCCTTCCTGAGGTGCGATGCCCAAAACCGATCGCAGTCTCCAGATGGGGGTCTAACCGAGGCTCTGTATAGCTGAAGCATCACTTCCTCTCCTTTACGTTCCATTGTTTATGTTCCATCCGCTTGAGATAAAGGCCAAGTCCCATTTGCCTTTTTCCTACCTTTTTTTTGTACCTGTGAGCTTGTTTTTTAGCGATGTGTGTGCAGGCGGACACCCAAATCCCTTTGGTCCTCCACAGTTCTTAGTTTCTCACCGTTTGGGTGAGAAACACGCTTCCCCCCATTGAATTCCACCGGCCACAGTTTTGCCCGCTCACTTAATCTGTCTAAATCCTTTTGTAACTTCCTGCTCCCATCGACATAACTTACTGTGTCTCCTAACTTTGGGTCTTCTGCAAATTTGGTTATAAAACTCTCTATTCCTTCATCCAAGTCATTTATATATATATATATATAAATCAGAGAATGTCCCCTTTATCCCTACTCTCTGTTTCCTGCCTCCCAACCAATTACCAAACCACGTCACAGAGGGAACTCTGATTCCATGTACTTTCATTTTTGCCAATAACCTTATCAAATGCCTTCTGAAAGTCCATGTAGATGACATCCACGGACGCTCTCTTACCCACCACGTTAGTGACCTCTTCAAAAAATTCAATTCGATTCGTCAGACGTGACCTACCCTTCACAATACCACGCTGACCCTCTTTGATGAGCTCATACGTGTCCAAGTGCTCAGTCACTCCATCCCTGATGAGACATTCCAGTGTTACCTGGTTTCTCCCTCACTCCCTTCTTAAATAATGGAACGACATTTACAATTTTCCAATCCCAGGGCACAATGCCCGAATATATATGGAAAATTACTCCAAATGCATCTGCAATGCAATCCCCTCCCCATTTAATACCCTGGGGTGGAATCTACCAGGTCCTGGAGATGTGTCTATCTTTCGTCCCATTATTTTATAATAAATCCATTTAGTACTTCTCTTTGGCTTATTATTAGGTTCCCTTGTGCTGCTGGTATTTTATCCTCTTCCTCTACTGTGAAAACAGAAGTAAAGTATTTATTCAACAAGTCTGTTGTCCATTATAGTCTCACCTACACCTGTCTTTATGGGTCCACGTTGCATCTTTTTTTTTCTCATGTTCCCTTTTCCACCTCTTATTCTTTGTATAGGTTTTACTGCTTTTTCATATCTCTCCCGGTCCGCAGGATTTAGGCTTTTTCTTGGATTAGTGAGAAAACCTTTCCTTTTAGTTTCATTCTTCCCTCATTTGTCGACCAGGTTTACTGAACGACACGACGACAAAGCTGAGCTTCGTGTTTTAGGGGTATGTACTGGGTTTGTATTGTCCTAAATTATTCTTTGAATACTCCCCACTGTATGTCCGTGGCTTTACCCACTAACAGTTTACCACAGTTAATTCATTTCTCATCCCTTCGGAGTTAGTCTTATTTAAATCTAAATCATTGATTTCTTAAATCAATTAAACCTTAAATCAAATTCAATCACATTGTTCCTGAGTGAAAGGAATACTTTCTGATGCCTGCTGCTGGCAGTACTCCAGTAATAATACCCCACACGCTCAGTAACAATCCACCACAGCTCCAATGCTCCACAAAATTAGTAAGAATAAGCACAGTAGCAATACTCCACATACTCCCAACGCTCACCAGCACAGACACGATGGGGAGAGACAGAGAGAGAGAGCAGGGAATGGGGTTAGAGTAGAGTAGAGAGCTCCAGTGGGGGAGCGAGCCCCAGCACAGACACGATGGGGGGAGAGAGAGAGCGCAGGGGAATGGGGTTAGAGTAGAGTAGAGAGCTCCAGTGGGGGAGCGAGCCCCAGCACAGACACGATGGGGAGAGAGAGAGAGAGAGAGAGAAAGCAGGGAATGGGGTTAGAGTAGAGTAGAGAGCTCCAGTGGGGGAGCGAGCCCCAGCACAGACATGATGGGGGGGGAAAGAGCGCAGGGAATGGGGTTAGAGTAGAGTAGAGAGCTCCAGTGGGGGAGCGAGCCCCAGCACAGACACGATGGGGGGGAGAGAGAGAGCAAGGAATGGGGTTAGAGTAGAGTAGAGAGCTCCAGTGGGGGAGCGAGCCCCAGCACAGACACGATGGGGGGGAGAGAGAGAGCAAGGAATGGGGTTAGAGTAGAGAGCTCCAGTGGGGGAGCAATCCCCAGCACAGACACGATGGGGAGAGAGAGAGAGAGAGAGAGAGAGAGAGCAGGGAATGGGGTTAGAGTAGAGTAGAGAGCTCCAGTGGGGGAGTGAACCCCAGCACAGACATGATGGGGGGGGAAAGAGAGCAGGGAATGGGGTTAGAGTAGAGTAGAGAGCTCCAGTGGGGGCGCGAGCCCCAGCACAGACACGATGGGGGGGAGAGAGAGAGCAAGGAATGGGGTTAGAGTAGAGTAGAGAGCTCCAGTGGGGGAGCGAGCCCCAGCACAGACACGGTGGGTTGAATTGTATTCTCCTGTGCTGTTAATTTCTAGGACTCTCTGCGCAAAGTATAACTCTACGACTCGCTGCAAACACGTCAGCTTTTACGGGGTATGTGCAAGTGCGCGCACTGCAGATACAGGGAGGTGCGCGTGCCCACAAGTGCACACGCACGTACACGCAGAGGCACGCGAAATATATACGCGCGCGCACACATGCACGGGCTCGTGCGTATACACACGCGCGCGCGCACGCGCACACGCACTCAGACAGACAGACCCACGCGTGTATTCGGGTACACGTTCTGAGTCGGATTATGCAATCGCCCAACGCATAGTGCTGCCTACGGGCCATCTTGGGGACTACACCCCGGGGTTCGGGCAGCGATGGGTTCATTACAAAGACGCTAAGGCGGGTTCGATAGAAATTTTGGGGGTGGGGGGGGGTCGAACGTGAGCTACTGCGGTGTTCAACACAGTCTAGGCTGATGCTCCTGCGCTGTGCTGGGGGGGGGGGGGGGGGGGCATCGTCAGAAGACGCTGTCCTTCGGATGAGGCGTTGAACCTCACTCCCCGTCTTGTGCCCTGTTCAGGTGGACCTTAAACATCCCGCGACTGCAGGATGCGAGCTTCTCTCTCTCTCTCTCTCTCTCTCTCTCGGTGCCCTGGCCGACAACGCCCCCCCCCCCACCCACCCCCCCCCCCAGATAAAATCGTTCATATTCACTTCACGGCTGTTTGTGGCACATTCGCCCGCACAGCACACAGTCACTACGCTTTACAATAAATCCTGCGAAGCGCTTTGAGGCGTCTCCACTGCACGAGAAGGTGTTGTAACAAATAATAATAATAATAATAATGATAATAATAATGATAATAATAATAATAATAATAATAATAAATAATAATAATAATAATAATAATAATAATAATCCCAGCCTCTGTCATGGCGCCTTTTACTTCAGGAGGACATCTCTAAGTGCTTCACGGGATAAAGTGGAGTGACTATGCATTCGCAGGACAACGCAGGGGCCAACGTGTGCACAGCAGCTCCTCACCAGCGATTAATTATAGTAACCACAACAATCGTTGCATTTGATATCGCGCCTCAACACATCGTTGAGAGAGTTTTCGCAGAAGATGCCGCCAAGCGACTTGGCTGTGCAGTTTGTGGGCGAAACAACGGGGTCCCCCCCCCCCCCGCGAACGGTCGCGGCTTCGGTGACCGCACCGTTCGTAGCTGTAGTTATTAGAATAAGTTCTTACCGCAGCTCTGGAGCGGAGTGAAGCTCGGGTTCGACGCACAGCTGCTGGAGCGAGCGCGGCTCCCGTCAGCCTGTAAACGGACCCACAGTGAAGCTCACGCGCTTCCGCGTCACAAGGTCCCCACAAACCCACCGCAGCAACTTGCGATCGAGGGAGAGAGTGCCGGAGTTTCGGGGCGCGGGGGCCCGAGAGGGCGGAGGGGGGACCAGGGCCAAGCAGGTGGCCGGAGCCGGCCGAGCGGAGGCAGCGGGTTGTGGGGGTGAAGGGGGGGGGGGGTGGGTGGGTGGTGTTTCAACACAAACTCAACCCCAAACACCCCTTTCAACCTCCCCCCATCACCCCCCAAACCATAGACTCCCTCCTGCAGGAGTCTTGTCCTACAGATGAGACCCCTAAGCCCCTATCCTTCCCTCCCAGGGGAGGGGGGGTGCGTTATACTGGATATAACCCACCAAATTCACGGATTAGATTCCACCTGGAACTCAGTCCCAGGGTTGGTGACTCCACCGGCTTCCCACCACACAGAGGATACAGTTTCAGCTCCTGGTCCTCACCTTCAAAGCCCTCCATGGTGTTGCTCCTCACTGCCTAGGTGACCTCCTAACTCCCTACCAACCTGCCCGCCCCCTCCGCTCAGCGGGCTCCGGCCTGCTTCACGTCCCCCGCCTCGCCCCCTCCCTCCCTCCCTCGCTCGCCTCCTTCAAGACCCATCTCGAGACCCTCCTCTTCGACCGCGTCTTCGGTCGCCCTACTACCCCCAACCCTCCCCGTCCTCCACCGCCCCCCACCTCCCCCCCCCTCCCTGCCGGTCCCAACCCCCGGCTCGGGTGCAGATCCCTGACTGTCCAGCGCCTTGGGACGTCCTCCGGACGCGAGGGGCGCCGGGGGTCAAGGCCATGCGTTGCTGTTGCTGTAGGTCACTGTTAGCGAGAGCTGTACCTCAGGGTCCCGGGACACGAGCACCACTTGGCCGTCCATCAGGGAGCAGTTGGTCACGTCCCACACGGGAGTCTCTCCGGACGGCAGCGTAGGCTTCACACACACTGGGCTCCCAATGTCTGCACAGGACACACCACAGCACAACCATCAATCATAATGGCATCATCATCATCATCATCATCATCATCATCATCATCACCATCATAATGATAATTATAATAACGATAATTATAATAATAATGATAATAATAATGATAATAATGACAATAATAATGATAATAATGATAATAATAATAATAATGATAATAATAATAATGATAATAATGATAATAATGATAATAATGATAATAATAATGATAATAATGATAATAATGATAATAATGATAGCAATGATAATAATGATAATAATGATAATAATAATGATAATAATGATAATAATGACAATAATTATGATAATAATGATAATAATGACAATAATTATAATAATAATGATAATAATGATAATGATAATGATAATGATGATAATGATAATGATACAATAATAATGCTAATGATGATGATCATAATAATCCATGCATTTGATATCACGTCTTCGAGACGTCTCGAAGCGCTTCACAGAATATAGCGTGAAGTGAATGGACTGTATAGTTTGTGAGTGAATACGATGGTATTATTGCCGATAATAATAATCCTTGCGTTTGACGCAGCGCCCTATCGCGACCGCTTGTGCGCAATCGGCTGCCGTGTGTTCGGCCGCGAAGAAAAAACACACCCGACCGACCCACTTTACGGCACGTCCTGCGAAGCGCTTTGAGGCGTCTCGACGCGGCGGTGATGGAGCCTCGTCGCGCAGTGCGAGGACTGTTTCCACATCCGGCGCTGTCCTCCGCGTGAACGGAAGGCTTCAGCGGGTTCTCCGGGGACCGCGCGGGGCAGGTCCCGCTCGCGCGGGGGGGGGTGGGGGGGGGGGGGGGGCGGAGCGGTCGTGTGGTGAATGTAACCCATTCACCATCCTCCCAATGTCTAGCGCCACCGAGACAGGAAACCGAGTGACTCGTCATTCACTTCCTGCCTCTACCCAACGCTACTCTGCGCCGGGGGCTCGCTCCCCCACTGGAGCTCTCTACTCTACTCTAACCCCATTCCCTGCGCTCTCTCTCTCTCTCTCTCTCTCTCTCTCTCCCCATCGTGTCTGTGATGGGGCTCGCTCCCCCACTGGAGCTCTCTACTCTACCCTAACCCCATTCCCTGCGCTCTCTCTCTCTCTCTCTCTCTCTCTCTCTCTCTCCCCCCATCGTGTCTGTGCTGGGGCTCACTCCCCCACTGGAGCTGTCTACTCTACTCTAACCCCATTCCCCTGCTCTCTCTCTCTCTCTCCCCATCGTGTCTGTGCTGGGGCTCGCTCCCCCACTGGAGCTCTTTACTCTACTCTAACCCCATTCCCTGCACTCTCTCTCTCCCCATTGTGTCTGTGCTGGGGCTCGCTCCCCCACTGGAGCTCTCTACTCTACTCTAACCCCATTCCCCTGCTCTCTCTCTCTCTCCCCATCGTGTCTGTGCTGGGGCTCGCTCCCCCACTGGAGCTCTCTACTCTAACCCCGTTCCCTGCGCTCTCTCTCTCTCTCCCCCATCGTGTCTGTGCTGGGGCTCGCTTCCCCCACTGGAGCTCTCTACTCTACTCTAACCCCATTCCCTGCGCTCTCTCTCTCTCTATCTCTCTCTCTCTCTCTCCCCCCATCGTGTCTGTGCTGGGGCTCGCTCCCCCACTGGAGCATCTCTAACTCCCATTCCCCCTGCTCTCTCCCCATCGTCTCCATAATAATCCCTGCATTTGACACAGCGTCTTATGTTGTCATCAAGACATCTCACAGATCGTCACTGTGAAGTGTAGTGACTGTGATTGTACACAGCGATGACCCACAAACAGCCTTGGGGTGACTGTTGGCCAGGAACCCCGGGCGAGAGAGAGAAACTCCCTTCCTTTTCGAGGTGCGGCTTGGTGTCCTACGCACCCATTTTCACTTCTGTTTTTTTTTGGGGGGGGACATTGCTGAGCACAAATTGACAGCCGCGTCCATCTGGATGCACAGTCACTTCAGTTTACAGTAAAACCTGTAAAACCGACAGCGGTTAGAGCACTCGTCTGGCAAGCGAGACACCTGGGGTTCAATTCCAGTCAGGGCCAAACTTTGGGCAAGTTTCCTTACTCCACACAGAGCCTAATAATAATCCCTCCAAAAAAACCCAAAACAATAATAAATTGGTCATTTTCAATCTACGACGGTTTGTGGGACATTGCTGTGCGCAATTGGCTGCCGCGTTCGCCCACAAATGTACAGTCAATTCACTTTACAGTGTGTTCTGTGAAGCGCTTTGGGACGTCCTCCCGACGTGAAAAGCGCTATATCAAATGCAAGGATTATTATTATTATTATTATTATTATTATTATTATTATTAACCTGTGGCAGAGTCTAAGTGAGCGGCAGTGTCCTGGTCAGTGACGGTCGTGGGGGTTGGGGTTGTGGTGATGGAGAGCGTATGATGGGGTACGGAGGAGATGATGGGGTGGCAATGATGGGTGAGGTGCCCCCGCCACACCCCCCCCCCGGGGTTGGCATGACGACGGGGCCTGTACCTACCTTCCCGCGACTCCTGCCGCTCGGCCTCCGGGCGGCCCTGCGTTTCCGCGACAACCGCAGGGAGACGGAGTTGATGAAGCTGCGGATCCTCTCGGCCGAGTCGCTCTTGGCCTTCCTCAGGCTCCTCCGGGGGTGGGGGCCGGCCTGCCGCTGGGGCTCCGACTGGGCCCTCTGGTAGGCCGTCCGGGCCTGCTCGCTCGGCCCGGCCTGCGGCTCGCCCGGGAGCTCCCCCGGGTCGCTCGCCCGCTTCGGGGGCTCTCCCCCCTCCTCCGCCGCCTCCCCTGGCCCAGCCTCGGACCGACTCCTCGGCTCAGCCTCCCCGTCCTCTCCGCCCGTCGCACCGGGGCCACGGCGGCTTGTGTACCACTTGTAGGCCTTCAGCAGCGACTGCCCGGCCGCTGGCTGGTTCCTCGACACCTCCTGGCTCACAGGAGCCAAACCCTGATCCTCGTCCATGGCTCAGAAGCTGCGCCCGAGCCAACAATTCACCTCCTCGCTCCCCCTCACCGGTCGTTATTTCATCAGACCAGAAACGAGCGTCTGGTTTTACCTATCCCCGTCTGTCTGTCTGTCTGTCTGTCTGTCTGTCTGTCTGTCTGTCTGTCCGTCCGCCCGACCGCCCTCCCTCCCTCTCTCTCTCACAGGATGGTGTCTGTCTCTCTGTGGTTTTGCTCTTGTTGTGCTCTCGATCGGAAAGGAAATAGGGGAGGAGATGCGAGGGCTGACGGTGATAGGCTGTCACCGGCTCGCGCCCGTGGTCCCCCAAACCACGGAAGCATGTCAGCGCCCGCCGGCTCGCTTCTCAAACCTGACGCTCGGAGCTGAGGCACAGATCGGCCATGATCTACTTAGAACGGCGGAACAGGCTCGGGGGGCTGAATGGCCTCCTTGTTCCTTACGTTGCTATGTTTGCCGTTCCCCCCCCTCCCCCCCCCACACACCACGTCCATCACCACCACCGCCAAACCCACGGCAGTCTCTCAGGCAGAGAAAGATCACTGAAGGCAATCAATAAAAAGAGTCACCTTCCTCCTAACCCCCCCCCCACCCCCACACAAACACCCCCACCTCAGTCCTGTAGCTCAGTGGTTAGAGCACTCGCTTTGCAAGTGAGAGACCTGAGTTCAATTCCAGGCAGAGGGCGAAACCTCGGGCAAGTTTCCTTACTCCACACAGAGCCTAATAATAATCCTCCAAAACCCAAACAATAATAAATTGGTCATTTTCAATCTACGACTGTTTGTGGGACATTGCTGTGCGCAATTGGCTGCCGCGTTCGCCCACAAATACACAGTCAATTCACTTTACAGTGTGTTCTGTGAAGCGCTTTGAGACGTCGAGAAGACGTGAAAAGCGCTATATCAAATGCGAGGAATATTATTATCATTATCTCCATATCGACAACAACAGCAACAAATTGCATTTACGCAGCGCATTTCACGTCAGGACGTTCCCAACACGCTGGACAGATAACCGAAAACGTTCTCCCCCCTTGAATCCAACCCCCAGCTCAGGTGCAAACCCCCGACTGTCCAGCGCCTTGGGAGGTCCTCAAGCCCAAGTTGTTGCCGCTGTTGCTGTTGCTGTTGCTGTTGTCGCCGAGCACACGATGCGGATTATTATACATGTATAAGGCTATATATTAAATCCTGACTTGCGTCTTGAACTGCGAGCGATTGGGGAGTAAAGACCGCAACAGGCAATCAATCAGTGCCTAAAAAGATAACCTGAACACTGCGCGGGGCCCAAGCCAAGCCTCTGCTTATCTGAAGATAGAGGAGTTTCAGGGGCTATTTCGGGACTGACTGCGAAGTGCAATGACTGTGTACTTCACAGCCAATTTGCACACAGCGACGTCCCCGAAACGGTCAGGGAGCAAGTGACCAATTTCTATTTGGTTCGAGGCGCCGCCCTTCGGTCAGTCCGAGCTCCCGTCTGCGCCCTCCCTGTTCAAGGTGGACGTTAAGGATCCCGAGGCGCCGGCGGTGGAAGAGAAAGAGCTTCTCTCTCCCTGCGTCCTGGCTGACAATCCCCCCGGATAAAATTGGTCACTCACTCCACCGGCTGTTTGTTAGGGACGCCACTGCTGTGCGCAAACTGGCTGCAGCGTTTCGCCCGCGTCGCCGCAATATCTTGTGAAGCTCTTCGAGACGGCTCAACGGCGCGATAAGGCGTTAAGTCAAATGCGAGGATTATTATGATTACTATTACTATTTTGTCGGCGGTGGGAGGGGGGGGGGGTGGGTGGGTGGAGACACCGACGTGCGCTATCGGCCGCCGCGTTTCGCCCACAAATACACAGTCAGTTCACATTACAATATATTCCGGGAAGCGCTTTGAGACGTCTCGAAGACGTGATGAGGCGCTGTATGAAATGCAAGGACTATTATTATTGTTATTATTATTATTATTATAGCCCTGCAATAATTGTCCTCCCCGAACGAGTAAAGAATGACAGAAGGAGAGGAAAAAACACACCCGGGAGAGAATGCGTATAGTTTAATGAAGCTCGTAAGCCGCCGTGTTGGAAGCCGTGTTGGAAGCCTTCGCTGTCTATCTCTGTTCTCCCTTCACCTGCGTGAGAGGCTCCTCACAAGGCCTCGGCGTTGACGGTGTCTCGCTCAACCTCCTGTCCGGGGAACACACAGGAAAGGTGCAGAAGGTTACCCGTTCGTTCCCATCCTCCATAGCAATGATAACAACAACAACAACAATAATATTAACATTAATAATCCTCGCATTTGATACGGCGCCTCATCGCGTCTTCGAGACGTCTCAAAGCGCTTCACGGGATAGACTGCAAAGTCGATTGACTGTGTATTCTGTGGGCGAAACACGACAGCGTCCCCACAAGCAGTCGTGGATTGAGTGACGAAATTATTATTACTTTATTTTTGGGGGAAGGATTATTCCCTCTCCTCCCCCCCCCCACCCACGCACCGCACCGCACCGCGCCCACCGGGAAAGCGATCCACCAATGGACTAACAACCGGGCTCCTACTTACCGCTGGGTCAACAGAGGCGTGTGTGTGTGTGCGTGTGTGTGTGCGTGCGCGCGTGTGCGGAGATAAGGAAACTTGCCTGAGGTTTCACCGTGCCGGGAATCGAACCCGGGTCCTCTGGCTTGCGAGGGGAGGGCTCTGTAACCGGTACGCTACAGGGATCAAGGTCCTAGTCCTTCCAATGAGAAGAGTCTGAACCCTGACGCCTCCGCCATTCCCGCCTCCCAGTTGTCGAGCCTCCTGCCGTGACCACCGCCCCCTTCTCTTTGCCCTCTCAACTTGGCCCGAAACCTGCGGCAGGTTTCCCTGCTCCGCACGCCTCCGCCTACCCAGGAGTACGGAGGCACCCGGTTGTCAGTCGATTGGATCGAAGGATACTCCCGTCAAAAGAAAATAACAATAATGATTTGGCCGCTTCAATCCACGGCTTTTTGCGGGACGCCGCGTTTTGCCCACACGCTATACGGTCGGTTCACTTGGACCGAGTATCGCGTGAAGCGCTCCGAGACCTCTCACCGATGTCGTAAGGCGCTGTACCAAACGCCGGGGCTCATTCATCTTATTATTGAGTTGCCAATCTCCCGAACCCGCATCAAAAGTTAGATTCGCTTACAAGTACACAGTCACTACACTTTACAGTGAGAAAGCCCCGTGAAGTGGTGCTTTGAACGTGGGGTTATTCCAGTTCCAGTTTGCGACTGATTTTCTGACTGACTTTCTGACTGACTTTCCGACTTTCTGACAGTCGGACTTTCTGTCCGACCCACCGACCATAAATCGGCTGCTCACAAGTACACAGTCACTACACTGCGCAGCGCCAGCCTCCTTTGGGACGGTCCAAAGTGTGTCCCGCAGGGAATAATAATAATAATAACAACAATAATAATAATAATAATAATAATTCTTGCATTTGATACAGCGGCTTATCGCACGTCGAGACTTCTCAACAGAATATACTGTGAAGCGGAGTGACTGTGGATGTTGTGGGCGAAGCGCGGCAGCCGGTGGCGCACAGGGGCGTCCCCCAAACACCGTTATTCCGACTGTCATTTCGCCCACAAAAATACGCGGTCGATCCACTCGTGAAGCGCTCTGAGACGTCTCGAGGACGCGATCGGGCGCTGCCTCCGACGCGAGGAGCGGCGTTGACGCATTACGATTGTTATCACTGTGATTTTTTTTTCTTTCCCCCCAATTATCCTTTGAGGCATCGTTTACCCGGAAAGCTTCCCAGGTCTTGATTTCGAGGAATAGCCGTTCCCCGGGGCACAGCACGTTGCGGTGTTGTCGATGTCCGTGAATAGCGTAGTCGCTGACCAGGTTCCCCGCGGCCACCGCGCAGCGGGTCCACGTGTCCCTCACCAACTGGATGGCGGTGTCGTCAGGCAGTGCTGCGGTGTAGTTGCCGATGAAAGCCACTCCGTAGCCCTTGGCGTTCTGCCCCTTGGTGTGGCTGCCTTGCCACCACCACCCCCGGCCTTCGTACAGGTAGCCGTTCGAACCCGCCACAAAGCTGCTCGCGCACACGCCGCACACGCATCACACACGCATACACACGCACCACACACACACCGCACACACACACCACACACACATACACACACACCACACACATAGACACACACACCACACACACACCACATATACACACCCACATACACACACACACCACACACACACACCACACACACACCACATATACACACACACATACACACACACACCACACACACCACATACACACACACACATACACACACACCACATATACACACACACACACACACACACCACACACCACACACACACACCACACACACCACATATACACACACACATACACACACACACACCACATATACACACACACACACACACACACCACACACACATACACACACACCACATATACACACACACACCACATATACACACACCACACACATACACACACACACACCACACACACACCACATATACACACACACACATACACACACACACCACACACACACCACATATACACACACACATGCACACACACACCACACACACACACCACATATACACACACACATACACACACACACCACACACACACCACATATACACACACACATACACACACACATCACACACACATACACATACACACACACCACACACACACCATATATACACACACACACATACGCACACACACATACGCACACACATACACACACACACACCATATATACACACACCACACACACACCATATATACACACACATACGCACACACACACCATATATACACACACACCATATATACACAGACATACGCACACACACCACACACACACATACACACACATCACACACATACACACACACAAACACACATACATACACATCCACACAAACACACACATACACACACACACACACACACAGACAGACGCACACATACACCACACAACACACACACACACACAAATAGTTAAAGTCCTTCGCTTCCGTGAACAACAATATCATTGCACAAGAGTCAGGGTCGGACGGGAGCATTGAGCCACAGAGACTTGTCCTGTCTCAACCAATACACTATCCAGGTTCCTCTCTCCCTCTCCCTCTCCCTCTCCCTCTCTCTTCCTCTCTCCTCTCTCCCTCCCCCTCTCCCTCTCTCTTCCTCTCTCTTTCTTTCCCGCTCTCTCCCCCTCTCTCTCTCTCTCTCTCTCTCACCCAATATATAACATTGATAATAATTACAACAATAAGAGAATCATAGTATCCTACAGCACAGAAGGAGGCCATTCGGCCCATCGCGCCTGTGCTGACTCTTTGGAAAGAGCTATCCAACTAACCTCTAACTCTGTGAGCGGTTGACTCCATCACCGACCAGTCCGCTCCCTCCCTCCCTCCCTCCGCTCTTGCCTGATCCATGTCCCCCGCCCGGCCCGACCCGGCCCGGCCATCAGCAATCAGGCCTTCAGCCTCTCTGCCCCCACCCTTTTGAACTCCATCCAACAGTCCCTTCGCCTCGCTCCCTCCGGTCCCGGTTCCTGAGCCAGGAGGGGCCGCAGGGTCCCAGGGCATCACTGCCGATGGCAGCACAGCCCGGCCTCGGCTCATCGGCAGGACCTGGAAGGGTTGACCAGTCACTGGGGGTAGAGAATCTCCCCCTCAGCTCCTGTTAACCCCGCAGCCAAAGCCCTGACTAACGGGGTAGGGTGGTCCGAGCTGGACAAGCAGCGGGAAAGCTCGGCCCAGACAGGGCCCTCAATGGCCAACGCACACTCTGGGCTCCCCCCCCCAAGCCTCGGCTCTCGCCCAACCTGCGCCTAATACTCTCCGGAATTAGGTAAACAGGTTGCGTCCCTCCAGTTGGGTTTGGAGACTGTTAAGCAACGGTGATGGGTTTCCACAGATGTCAGACACCCGCTGATTCCTCCCCCCCTCCCTCCCCCCCCCCCCCCCCCGCCGCAAGAAACAATATGTTGTTGTTGGTGTTGTTCTTGATATTGTGGATGTTGTTGTTGTGGATGTTGTTGTTGATAGTGTTGCTGTTGATGTTGTTGTGGATGTTGTTGTTGTTGATAGTGTTGATGATGATGTTGTTGTTGTTGTTGATAGTGTTGATGATGATGTTGTTGTTGTTGATAGTGTTGATGATGATGTTGTTGTTGATGTTGTTGTTGATAATGTTGATGTGGATGTTGCGGATGTTGTTGCGGATGTTGTTGCGGATGTTGCGGTGGACGGTGTTGTTGTCGTTGATAAGGTTGTGGACGGCGTTGTGGATGTTGTTGTTGTTGTTGTGGTGGTGGTGGTGGTTGCGGTTGCGGTTGACGTTGCTGTCGTCACCTGTAGGCGATGTCGTCCCACTCCCGCTCCTCCTGGTGAAAGCGTTGCATGGCCCTCATGTTGGCGGCGCACTGTGGGAAGGTGGCGCAGGGCCGGCTGGGGTGGTAGGTGTGGTGAACGTACACATAGCGTAAGGGCAGCGTCAGGAGGGTGGCGGCGCCGCGGTACGGCTTTGCCCCCCACATGCAGCGAGGAATGATGGCCGGACAATCTGCAGTCAAACACGATCGGCCGTGAAAACCATTCGCCCCTCATGTTAACACTCACCCAACCCCCACCCTCTCCCCCCCACCCACCCCCCAACCTCTCTCCCCCTCCCCACACCCCACCCTCTCCCCCTCCCCACCCCCCACGCGCACACACGACTCGAAAGCCCTCCGCGGGACACGCTGCGACTGTGCGGTCTGCGGGCAAAAGGCGGCGGCCGATTTCGTCGCGGCGGAGGCTCCCCCCCACCCTCGCTCCTCTCGCTGCGACCGTTGTTACGAAGGGACTCGAGCCCGCGCGCCCGAGTGGCCGCCGCTCACCGAGGTACCTGGAGAGGAACCGGGGCACTCCGCGCTGGGCGATCTCCTCGACGGCCCGGCGGGACAGGTTGCGGAGGCCGGGCTGGTCGCCGAGCTGTCCGTACAGGAGCACCGCGTCGGACACCTGAGCGGCCAAACCCCGGGCGGTAACCAGCTCCCCGTAGGCCTGGCGCCTCCGGCTCGCCTTCAAGCCTCGGAGGCCTAGGCCCTCGGTGTAGTAACCTCTCAGCACGGCGCTGAGCGGGGGCAGGGGAGGGGAGAGGCCGGACAGGTAGCTGCCGAGGATGAAGCCGTCCATCCCCCCGTTGATGAGAGCGTCGGTCGCTGAGGACCAGGGCGGGGAGAGGGTGAAGCGCCGGGGTTTCTCCACGTGGTCCCAGCACCCCTCGCCCCCCAGCAAGGCTTGGCTCCCATTGCGATGGTGGCCCACCAGAGCCAACCCCAAGTCCTTGGTCAAGGTGACGGCGTGAAGGGAGTCCACGGCGTCCGGCGCCCCCCCCGCCGTGCCCGTCGGCCAGGCCGAGCTCCTGTTCCTCCTCAGCCCGGCCTCGATCCCGGCCAGAACGTGCCCGAGGGAGACGGTGGTCCCGTCGTCGGTCAGGCTGACCCCCAGCTCGGCCGACGGCGTGACCTGGTGCTCGGTGACCCGCCAGAGGAAGGATCGGTCGGTGTCGGACAGGAGGCTCAGGGACCCGGGAGGAGCCGAGCTCTGGCCCAGGAGGAGATGGTGGAAAAGGCTCTCGGACCGGCTCAGGCTCCGCACCAGACCCACCGTGTCCAGGAGGGTCAGCGTCGGTGCTCGCTCCTCCAGCTCCTCCAGGATCCAGATCACACTCCTCACATGGTGATCCGGCCGGGCTGGGAGAGGGGAGGACGCAGGAAATATCATCATCATCATAATAATCCTTGCCTAATAATTCCCCCCCCCCCACACCCCGCCCCCCGCCCCACGCAGCAGGCTCCGATCTCCTCCACGTCCCCCGCCCGGCCCACAGGACCCCAGCCCCTCTTCCCCCTACCATTTGGAACTCCGTCCCAAACCCCCTTCGCCTCGCCCACACGCTTGCATCCTTCGAGGGCCGATCGAAAGACCTTCCTCTTCGACCACCCCTTCAGCCAACCAACACCCACCCACCACCCCCCCTCCCCCCTTCCCCCCGGGTTATTTGACACGGACCCTCATCACGTCTTCGAGACGTCTCAAAGCGCTTCGCAGAACCTACTGCGAACTGAAATTGACCGCGTATTTTGTGGGCAAAACACGGCAGCCAATTGCGCACCGCAGTGTCCCCACAAACACTCGTTGGATTGAGCGACCGAGTCCTTTCTTGTTATTCTTTTGGAGAGGATTATTACCCCCCGACCCACCGCACCCTCCCACCCCCGGGGAAAAGGATTCCGCCAGTCGATTAACATCCGGGTTCCGACTACTGCTGGGCAAACAGGGGCGCGCGTGCGTGTGTGTGTGTGTGCGTGTGTGTGTGTGGGCGTGCCCACGTGTGTGTGTGTGTGTGTGTGGAGGTAAGGAAACTCGCCTAAGCTCTCGCCCTGACCCAGGAATCGAACCCGGGCGCTCTCGCTTGCGGGGCGAGAGCTCTAACCCACGACGCGAGGGAGGGGGTTTCACTGTAACATCTTAGAGACTGAGCCACAGCAACAACAACAACAACAACAACTTGCATTTGGATACTACTACTACTACTAATAATAATAATAATAATCATTGCATTTGATATAGCGCTTTTCACGTCTTCTCGACGTCCCAAAGCGCTTCACAGAACACACTGCAAAGTGAATTGACTGTATATTTGTGGGCGAAGCGCGCAGCCGATTGCGCACAGCAATGTCCCACAAACAGTCGTAGATTGAAAACGACCGATTTATTATTGGTTTTGTTTTTTGTGCCACACGGCCTCTCAGAGCCCTTAGCAGTGGCGGAGTCTGATGCAGAGCCGGGGGGGAGGGGAGCGGGGGGGGGGGCGACCGTGGACACGGTCGAAGCAGAAGGTCCTCGATCGCGACCTGAAAACGGGGAGAGAGAGGAGTTGAGGTGGGGGTGGGGGGGGGGGGGGGGGGAAAGGGAGAGAGGTCCACAGCTTCGGGGCGAAGTGGATGAAAGAATGAGGGTCGATGGTGAGGCGGAGGGTCTGGGGGGGGGTATGGAGGAGGATGGAGCCACACACACACACACACTACCCCAAGCTCCTAGACTTGTATTTGGGGGCCTTCGTGGTTTCCTGAGCAAAGTGAGGGTCGCAGGACACAACTCACCTCCAGACCCCGCACCCCCTTTTAACCCCGCCAACCCCGTGAGCTAAAGAGCGGGCGAGCGGGGCTTCGGGGGGTGGGGGTGGGGGGGGAACGGGATCTTCGATGTTCACCTGTGCAGCGCGGACAGGGGAGCTCTGTCTGTTTCTGTCTGACATGTGGGGAAAACCCATCATCGTCGCTTAAGAGGTTCCAAACCCAAGGGGGGAGGGGGAGGGGGTGGCGTGCGCTAACAGACGCAGTCACTACACTTTACGTGGATTTCTGGAGCTCAGCGGTCAAGAGAGCTCGCCTCGCAAGCGGGAGACCCGGGTTCGATTCCCCGGCGGGTCAGGGCGAAAGGTTGGGGCACGTTTTCTTCTCCCACACACAGACACACACACACACACAGACACTCACACACACACACAGACACTCACAACACACACACAGACACACACAGACACTCACACACAGACACACACACACACACTCACACACACAGACACACAGACGCGCGCGCGCCTCCGTTTACCTGACAGTAAGTAGGAACCCGGTTGTTAGTCGATTGGCGGATGGCTTTTCCGGGGATAATAATACCTTCAAAAAAAAAACACGAATAAACGAATAATAAATAAATAAATAAATGAACCGGTCACCCAATCCGCGACCGTTTGTGGGGACGCGGCTGTGCGCAGTTGTACAGTTCGCCCGCAAAATACACGGTCACTACACTTTACAGCGTGTCCCGGGAAGCGCTTTGAGGCGGCTGGAAGGCGTGATAAGTCGCTGTGTCAAATGCCAGGAGTATTATTATTATTATTATTATTGTTGTTGTTGTTGTTGTTGTTGTTGTTGCTGTGGAGAGCAATTACCGGTGAAGCGCTTTTGAGACGTTTTAACGGCGACGGAACGGTGAGGGACCTTCAGCTGAAACCGGGTTAGCGTTTCGCTCGCGGAGGGCGACTGTCATCTGACACCCGTGTGACTGTCTGTGAGGTGTGAAGGCTGCGTGTGAGGTTGTGCGGAGGAGCCAGGATGTGTGTCAGCCACACAGCACCGGATAAGAAAGCCGAGAGAGAGAGAGAGAGAGAGGCGAGAGAGAGCGAGAGGCCAGAGAGAGACAGAGAGAGACAAGAGAGAGAGAGAGAGAGAGAGCGAGAGAGAGAGAGAGAGACAAGAGAGACAGAGACAAGAGAGAGACAAGAGAGAGACAGAGAGAGAGAGAGCGAGAGAGAGAGAGAGAGAGCGAGAGAAAGAGAGCAAGAGACAGAGAGAGAGAGAGAGAGACAAGAGAGAGAGAGCGAGAGAGCAAGAGACAGAGAGAGTGAGAGTGCGCAAGAGACGAGAGAGAGCGAGAGAGAGAGAGAGAGAAAGAGACAGAGAGAGAGAGAGAGAGAGACAAGAGAGAGACAGAGAGACCGAGAGAGAAAGAGAATGAGAGACAGAGAGCGAGAGACAGAGAGAGACAGAGAGAGAGAGAGAGAGAGGGCGAGAGTGCGCGAGAGAACAGAGAGAGAGAGAGAAAGAGAATGAGAGAGACAGAGAGCGAGAGACAGAGAGAGAGGGCGAGAGAGCAAGAGACAGAGCGAGAGCGAGAGAGAGAGAGAGAGAGAGAGATGGGGCCCCTCAATCAATGTGTTTGTGTCGAGCAGAGCCGCTCTCCCCACACGTCTCTCCCGGGACCCGGCTTTGAAGTTGTTTGGCTCAGTTCCGTGGCTCTCCGCGAGGGCAGAGGAAGCCCACGGTCTGCAGGATGGCCTCGGAGAGCGGCTCGGCTTTGTGTCTCTTCGCTCTTACCGTTTCCTTTTCATTGACCACATCCTGCCTTCCGCCGCCGATATACATAAGAGCGTGTAAAGCTCGTCGTGCAACAGATTAAAGCAGCGCCGGATTAGAAAGAAGCCGAGGGAGAGAGAGAGAGAGGGAGGGGGGGAGAGAGGGAGAGAGAGACAGAGAGAGCGCGAGAGAGACAGAGAGCGAGAGAGACACACACAGAGCGAGAGAGAGAGAGAGACACAGAGAGGGAAAGAGAGACAGAGAGGGAAAGAGAGAGAGTGAGAG